TTGCTTGCTTGCTTGCTTGCTTGCTTGCTTGCTTGCTTGCTTGCTTGGCTGCCTTGGTTGCCCGTCAACACGGTTGAGGGCGCCGAAAGCAGACTTCAAGTTCACAAGCAATATTAATATATATATATTTACATGCAAGCACACCTATATCTCACTCCTCCTGCGTCCCGTTTTGTATTTTGGCATATCTTGGTCCTTGGTTCTAGTTACTTCATGTTTTACAGACCTGTGTTCACTATCACTATCCTGTATGTTAGTAGTTCATCTCATTCTCCCTCTGTTGAGTCGCTGGTGGCCACAGCAGGCTCCCGCCCCCAAGTGCTCCAGCTTGCGCGCCGCGATCGCCGCAAGCCAGCAGAATGAGGAGGACAGCTCTGGCGGTGGGCCACCTCCATCTTTCCCTACAGTTCATGGACCAACAACCCAACAGAATAAAGTCATCAAACATCACTCAGTGTTGAGTGTCCAAAGTGGATGGTCTTCATAGGAGCGATATGAAACATTCTCACCCAGCCAAAGGAGCGATTGATCAACAGGGACGGAGTTGGTCAGAGGCCCTCTAGCTGCTACAGTTCACCCTTCATATAGGTAACAAAAAAGATGGGAAGATGAGAAGAATAAAGATAAATAGTATAAACATTTATCAACATATCAACTTTCTATGGTTTTTCTATTCTCTTTTCTGAGAGTTCTGAATGCTCCGCTGATGCCGCAGCGGCGCCTTTTGTTACCCGGGCAGCTCCAGTGAGGAGCTTCCAGTGAACCGGCGCTTCTCCCCAGAGGGGCGGCAGGACCGGATTTCGGAAAGGGTGGCAGGTGGGTGCAAATTCAGGGCTGCAAGACTTGTTTTGGTTCGAAGTTTGTACTATCCCATCCCATCCCATCCCATCCACTATCTAAATCTCAATCATTTGGCTTCTCGCAGTCCCACTGTTGGCCATGCGGCACTTGCTTCGGGAACCCCGGCACGCCTTCCTGGTTCGCGGCGCCTCACGGGCGCTCCGGGACGTCCCACGGTTCGTCCTGGGCGGTTCCAGGCCTTCATCCAGAAACATGTCCATCGAAAGCTGCAGAGCAGCGTCGCAGACCTCGACGACGAGGCGCGCCGGAAGCAACGCGAACGCACCCGGAACCGGGAGTTTGGGTTGGGGACGCCTGCGCGTGTTTCTTTGCTCGGCGGTGAAAGCAAGTGGTGTAGTTGGACAGCAGGTGTAACGATACTTGATGGGTGAAGAAGAAGAGGGTCTCTTGAGATATCACCGTCGAACTGACCGTAAATAAGACTGGGGTACCTATGGGATAGTCCAACTAGGGTTCTGACCCACCTCTGTTGGAAGTCCTGTTTCTCTTCCCTTCCCTCTATGTGTTTCTTGGCATCTCAATGCCTCTGACTAGAGTCCAGAACCGGCACCAGCGTCCCACGCGTGGGCGTCGCACCGGCGTCCGTACCCCGCGCGCGACACAAAAGGCCTTGTGGCTCTTGGGGCAGCTGCACTTCAGTGATCAGCCCACGGAGCTTCCACGGTTTCTGATGCCCAGACCCACAGGCCGGACCGAAGGGCTGAGGGGGTGGCCCACGGCCTGGATTGCTTTTTTGTGACTTTCCACGATGTGTGCGGGTTGTTCGTGTAGTCTGTAGAGGTTGTTTTTGGCTGTTTCATCGGTTTGCGCCGCCACGTGACAGCAAACCCGTTGGTCGCTTTTGAGCCCAACGCGGTTGAAAGGCCAGTTTTCGGCTCGCTTTTGCCAACAAGGACGCTACTAGGTGGAGGCCATCGCAAGTAGGTTGGAGGCCATTACTACTAGTAACAAGAAGCTACTAACAAAGGAACAAAGTGGTTTGTGGGGCTTTCACACATCCCACGGTCCGGCGCTTGGAACGCTCGTTGTTGCTCGATTTCCGTCCTCCGACCGACGCCCGAGACGTCGACAGCGTGGTGTTCAGGGAGTGAGGCGACGCGGCCGGGGGGCACGGGTGACGCCCTGAGACGTTCATGTGACCCTGAGAGTCCAGTCACTCATTTTACCCGGTATTTGTGGATGGATTGGCTACCAGGCGGAGTCAATGAGTCAAAACGGAAGTTCTGGGTTACTCCAATTCTTCAAGGTCAAGTTTGGGTGACCGTGTTTTGCGGGACCTCTGGCAGCCTGGCAGCCCAAATGAATGGTGGCCTGTGTCAAGCCCAAGCTCGGTGATTCATCTGGAACGGCTGGTGCGAGAAACTAGCCTCCGCTTCCAACAGTCGTTGGATTTCATCGGAGACATGATTGTTGCGCGAGCCCATTGATGCATGCCACATCTATGTTTCTATGTTGGGACAGCTCACTCTGTCCCGTTTGCAGGTCTTCTTGCAGTCTTCTTGCAGATCCCTGATGAGGCACCAGTCACTCGTTTGCCTTCGTCCGAATCGCTTGGGGCCTTCACGTCAGTCGTTCAGTGGCAAGGATTCATTGCCCGTTCGCACCGGTTGAGAACCCCATGGCCCCATGGCGAGCGCTTCGTCAGTTCAAGCGGAGAAAATGACGTGGATGGCCAGCGGGCCCAACGCAACAGGCAATTCGAGATTCTAAGGCATCTGCTTTCTTGAAAATTGCTCACTGTTAACTCTTCCTGGGTCCGTTTGTTTCCTTGCCGGGAAGGTGAGGAAGGTCGGTGTGTCCCACAGAGTGGCGATGCCCTCGCCACAGATGCCACGATGCTGGGGGCGAGCAGGAGGCTTAAGAAAGCTGTGGGTTCCCCACCACTTTCCTTCCACGCAGCCCGAATGTGAGACCAACGCCTTCTAGGCTGGTGTGACTGGTGTGCCTGCAGCTTTGGTGTGAGGCTTGCCACAGACCTGCGCATCCGCCTGCCTGTATACAGCTCCGCGACATCACTGTAGGGCTCCACCAGGTTCAGATTTTGTGCTCCACATTCAGCTGCTCGTCGTTTGCCTTGTTTTGCTGCTCGCTCTTCTTCTCTCCGCGACGTGACCAGAACTTAGAGCTGCTACTCTGGCTTTGGGCTCATAACCCACCTGACAGCAAACCCGTCGGTCGATTTCTTGAACCCAACGTGGTTGAAAGGCCAGTTTTCTTCTTTTTTTCAAGGCTTCTCCGGCTTCTCCAACGATTGGCAAGCAGACCTACATTCAAAGCCGCGGAGGTGTTGGACTCCCAGTTTGGTAGCAGCGTAGCAGTTCGTCGTTGAGCGCCCCACGAGCCAGGTTCTTTGCGGCCGACTGGTCCAGTTGGAAAGCAAGGTTACCAGGAGCGACCTTCTGCGGGAGGTGGGTGGGTCAAGAAAATTCCCTGCAACATCAGTGACGATGGTGAGGGAGGCCACTTTGCAGATGTGTTCCTTGGTTTCCGGGGTTTGGGATTCACATTTTTTTTGGGACGCGCATTCGAGCGCGGAAGTCTCGAAAGGACTATGTTACTTGTTTTCGAGGCGAAAGGGGAGAGAGAGAAAGAGAGGCTGGGCGAAAGTGGAAGTGAAACAAGAACGCACTGGTTTCAAAAAAGGAATATCATCCAGGGATGGTGCTCCTGTTCCAAAGTGCCATATGCCATTTTCTGTGCGCGTTGCGGTTTGAGAGCGAGTCGGGTTGCGTACTGTAGATTCTGAGACTCAAGGCATGAAAGAAACAAGTGCACAGAACTCTCCAGGCATCGCATGACATGACCACGGCAGCCGTGACAACGAAAGAGAAAGACTGATGCCGAGCGAGCTGGAACATGGACATGGCGGGATGACAGGTCTTGTTTCTTCCCAAAGAAGGGCATCTGGAATGGCCAGAAGACACTTTTTTTTTTTCTCTTTTTAATGCCATGTTTCATTGTAGGTCAGTGTAGGGAAGCACACACATTCCACTCACTTGCCGGACGAAGAGCAAAACAAATCATATGAATAAACTCCTCCTTACCTAACTCTTTATGACATTTTATGCAATGGGGAACCTATTCAACAAAATGACTTTTCCAGCACTCTTCATAAAATCCTCATCCTCTACAAGGGTGATTGAATCAATCCACTGACACATGGTTTGTGGTTCTTCATTTGATCCCTAGTAACGTAGTCCTTGCTCCTAGTAGCGATGCCCTTTGTTCCTAGTAGCTTCTTGTTCCTAGTAGTAAGGCCAGGAACGCCCCGTTCGTAGCGTCCGATCGCTCCTACTAAACGTTCATGGACTCGGCATCCTTCGCTTCAGGAAGCGGAAGTTCCGCTGCGGACGGATCGCGCTCGCCACGTGGAAGGACCGCGCTCGCCGTGTTCGGCCGCCAGCGGGGTGAGTCTCGTGTGGCTTGGATTGTTTCTTTCCCAACCCGACCTGATTACACACCCGACCTGATGTGAACCGGGGGAGAAATATGCTTAACATATTATCGACACAAAAGGAACAGACTCTCAAAAAATGAAGAGAGTTCAAGGTGATGTTTTCTGCTGAGGCTGTGACCAGGATCAAAGCTTTTTGCTTCCCTCACTCGCTGAGAGTCCCATTTGGATGCAGGACGTTGCTTTGTCACCACCACATCTCCACATGGTCCTTACGTGTGTCCCATCTGCCCGATGTGAGAGTTCCAGTTCCATTCGCTCCAGTTCCAGTTCAACGAGAAACATGAGAGTTTCACACTACAATTTTTTTACATTTTAAAAACACATGCCATGGTCTTCCAGTTTCTCTCTGGTCTGGAAGACCCTCTGGTCTGGCGCCGTGCAACACCGCAGTGGGGTTCCCACCCCCCACCGCGACAGGACGCCGCCCAGCGACCGACTGGTCTTCGGCCCCAAAGGCGCTGTGGTGAAATGGTTTGAAGGGATGTCCATTCACCTGGTAGGGGTGGCTGGTAGGGGTCATGTTACACTCTGACGAGGAAGAGGATGGCATGGGCCCCGAAAGGAAGGCGACTTTCCTTTACAAACTAGGGGGTGCCATCCACTTCCATGTGGGCGTGTTTAGGGAGACGCCCTGGCCCTGGCTGGGTAGACTGGTATATTTTCTGAACCTTCTCTGTGTTCGTTGTGTCAGAGACTTAGGAGAACTGATTCACAGTATGTCGCTTCGCCACACGTGGACCTTTGAAGACATCGCTACACGTGGAACCAACGTCGCACAACCCAAAGAGTTGATCGGCGAAGAAGCAGACTGGAGGTCCCCAAAGCAAGACTGGCTGCAGAGATCGCAGAGAAGCCATTCTATCCTGGGAACCAAGTTCTAACCAGAAACAGTTCTGGTAGTTCCTCCTTATGGCGCCAGCAAAGCAGATCCTTTACAGGCTGGGAACGGGAACGGCTGGGACTGGGGAGTTCCATCCATTTCTTTCTGGTTGGGACGGGGGGTTCCAGGATGAACGCGTCCATTTGGGGCTTGGATCCACAGAACGTTCTAGTTTGCAACGCGCCATTTGGACGTTCCGAGAAAAAACAAAATCAACCTTTGACCTCTTTGGTTCTGCGTACCATATGAGCCACGCGTTCTGCGTTCTCCGAACCGAAAGGTGCCCGAACCTCAGGGAACCCCGACGCGCAGCTTCTGGCTGTCCATCGACGCGATCCGGCGCTTCCGGAGGCGGCTCCTTCGCCCGTTTTGTGGGAAGAGGTGCCGGGCTAGACGCGCGAAGGTCCGGCGGTGACGGAGTGCGTCTTGTCTCGACTCCTATTTTTCCCTGCTTTGAAGTGTGGAAAGGTCGCAGGTGAAGGTCACCAAGAGTCCAAGTGAGTGGTGATTCCCCCTGGTTCTTTTTGAGGATCACTCCCAGGGTGGCGTCAAGTCACGGAAGTTCCACTCGAGACTCCTTTGTGCGTTTTGGAGCGTCGCAAAAGGCTCCCGAGCTGGGACTCTGCTAAGTGCTTGGACAGCCCAGGTCTAGTGGGTGTCTATGCCCTAGGGTTCCTGGCCCATATCGTCAGGTGGTTAGACCCTGGCACCCACCCTAGTCCCACCTTCTCACGAGGTGGGAGCCTTATAGATTGAATCGCCCCCAAAAAGCCTTTGCCTTTGAGGTGAAGGTGTCGGGGTCTCCACCAGTCCGCGCGGTTGCCGCGGAGCGGCTCAGAGACCGGTGTCAAGCTCTGAAGAAGGGTCAGACTGGGTTTGCGACCCTGAAACCACTGTGGATTGCAATAAGGAGACCCCGTTGGCCGAAATATCAGGATTTTCCTGCTTCATGTTGCCATTGCCAGGGGTCAGTTAAACTTAGGCTGTTTTCTCCTAAGTTTCCTCTCTCGCGGCTTGAGACCCCGTTCTTTGAAGCGTCCTTTGCATTGGACCTTTTTTATATTCCTTTATAAGAAACTCACTGACAACTTCTTTCAAGAGATCCAGACATTTCCAGCTCTTTGGTGAGTGAAGATTTCCATATTTTTGGTTGATAGGCCGAGAACGTCGAGGTTCCGAGCTCGAAACACGGTGCCCGCGCCCCGCAGAGCAAAGCATGTTTCATTGATTAGAACTGCCATGGCCGAGAACGTCGAAAAGCCTCTCGTTTGGCATGGCGCGAGAGGTGCCGGGGCGATCCAGAGCGCCTGCAAGCCTGAGATGAGGTTAATTAGTTGGGTGATTGTACTGGCTGGTGTTGTTGCAGTGATACCAGCTGAGCACACTGGAGGAGCATTTGGACCACAGCTCAATATGACTTCTGTGTGGTTCGTCAGAGGAAAGATAGCTTCCTTGACGTGGGATTTCTGGGCATCTATACACATAGAGGGTCCAAAGTCCAACCCTGCCAAGCAGTTGCTCAGGTGGTCTTCTCTTTCCCCCCCAAGAGTTGGGATGACACTTGACACCTTGACACGCCCCAAGTTGTTTAAATTGACCATCACTTCTGAGAGGTTTCACCCGCCCAAACCCCAGTCTTTCGGCTGTCTCCACCAGTCTTTCTGTTCGCGGCCCCCCTCCACCCAAAAGAGAGTACTGCAGGAGACTGGTTTTTTGATAGCTTGTTCTTGGGTCTACTGCGTTTCGACCCATCAGACACAACCGAGTCGCAACGTGTCGTTCTTTCCCGTTCGACTGACAGAATCCACCCCACCGAGTCACGGAACCCGGGGGGATGGTTCGGCTCGGCCGCAACGGCCACGGTCGAGCCCATAAGGTGCTGGAGCCCATAAGGCAAGCCATGCCCTAGCCTTTAAAGCACAATGCTTGACCTGGCTTTGTAGTGTAAAATCCTTGGTCAAAACACATGGCAGTTGTCAAAGACCATTCAAACCCATGGCTGTTGGAATCCCCAAATCCTGATGATTTGCTCCATCAAGGGCCATTGGCCATTGGCCGGGGCGGAAGTCCTGTCCTCCTGGTTCGGATCATCTCACCAACAACACATGAACGGCCGGTGGCTGACATCGCTGCCGTTCCCTCGGTCGTGTCGTGTCCCTGCTCGAGCCGAGGAGCCTGACGCCGGCACACCGCGGCTCGGTGATGCAGAAAGCGACGGGGGGGATGGGCATGCGTGCGGCTTGATTGGGGCGCCCGAAACAAAGAGAGGTGTATCATTGGAAGACTCCGTCGACATCAGGCCTCATACCTGAGGTATTGATCCCAGATGGACTCCTCTGCGAAGTCATAGAGCGTCCAACTTGGATGATTTGACAGCTTCTTGCTCCCTCCGAACACCAGTTGGATCGGTGGGCCTCCAAAATGGATGGCCACCTGCTAATCCGCGTCCGGTGGTCGTCGCGGAGCCGACATCGGTGCAGCTGTGGTGCGGATCGAGGGGGGGTGGTGAGAATCATTCCACTCACGAAGGCATGGTTGCGCAGAGGGCATGGACCCGAAAGAGGATTTACGGAAGACGGAGTGTAGAAGAGCCCTCATTCTTGAGGAGGGGTCCTACTCGGTGCGTCCACGGGTGATTGTGGGACATGGAAAAGAACTTTAGCAGCAATTTGGTATAACATTAGTTTGGTGTCTTGCGTGTATGAAAGATTTTTTCAAGAGGATTTGTCTGTTGAACTTGTAAATCTGTCTTTCCTTTTCGTGCTCAAGGCATGCTAGATAGGGTGGTTAAGTTCGCTGAGTCCTTTGCCGCTCTCTCTGACTTGTCCCTTCGGTTCACCTGCCCTCTCCATTGCAGCAGCTCCTGCCTCCCGTGGCTTTTGCTCGGCCTTTGCCTTGGGATCCTCTTTTCCATTCTTGGATTTGTCTTCCTGGCTTACTCGGCTTTGCATTTTGTCCGGCTTGGCAATTCTGCAGCTGCTGGAGGTGGACCGGAGGTTGCGGAGGTGCTGGCAAGGCCTCTCCATCTGGTGAGGAGAGCTCGACTGGCGGAGTATCGTGAATGAGCAGGCCGGTGACCCGTGAGGACATTGACCGTTTAGTGCACGCTGTGAACCAGCTGGCCCTTGCTTTTGATCGAGCTTCATTGCCGTCTTCCTCATCTACGACGGTCTCCGTGCCTATCATCTCTCAGGCCGGTTGGGAATTGGTCGAGCCTTCTGTTGAGGTTCCGTGGACGGCTCCGAAGTCTTTCACGGGAGTCGAGGAGGGTGTCCCTGCTATTCCACAGTCGCTTCTCATTTTAGCTTCGAGCAAGATCTCATCGGTGGTGGGACAGCCTCAAGAGAGAGTTCAGAGGGCTTGGAAGGCAGGTTTTGCTGCCTGGGTGGCCTTGTCGACTCACACCGAGTATACCCCTGTGGATCCTTTGCCTTCGCTCTCGGATACCATCTGGGTGGTCCTTCGCGCTCCCTCTCTCAACGGTGCAGTGCGTGTGAGACGGGTATCAGACCTGAGGAGCCTACTTGCTGTGCTTCCAAGTCTTGATTGTGGTCCCGTACACCAAGGTTTCCCTTCCCTGACAGAAGTGCAAGTGTTTTGCGCGGCGGCTGGCATTGATACACCTCCTGTGTTTCAATGCAAGTCTCACAAGTGAGGATGGCAATTGGTGAGGCCGACTTCTCGCTCCTGGTGGTCGATTTGGACTTCTTGCATGCAGGAGCACCCCTAGAGGCTTATGGTGTCCCTCTTCTTGCACGAGCTGAAGGTTTTCTGTTGTGTGTGCCTCATGGCCTCTTTGATGATGCCATGGTGGTTGAAGGAGAATACCCTGCTGAATTTCCTAGTTGGCTGGGCATTGGATCTATGTTTGAGGTTCCCTTTGTGGAGGAGACCGACGATGGCAGCACAATACCGCTCGGGCTGAGCGGGCCTGTGACAGTCATTGATGTTGGAAATGAGGTGCTAGCAAGATGCCGGGAGTATGACCCGGTGACTGACTCTGATTCTTCGATTCAGCCTTTTCATGAGACTGCGGTCCAGGCGATCCCTCAGCTTTCTTCGTTGCTCCCGGCTGTTCAATCCTGGATTGCAGAGCGATATGATGGAGGTGCTCCTTTTCAGTCGGCTCAAGAAGACCCGGAAGCAAAGGCGCCGCCTCCTTCGAAGACAGGTCAGAAGAAGGCTCCTGCGGTGAAGCGAGTCACCAATGCCAGCATTATGGAACAGTTGAACCTGATCACGGCCCAGATGCAAGTGTTGACAGTCAGGCAGGATGCTCTCGAGAAGGCTGGAACATCATCCCCCTCTGCAAAAGATGCCTCAGGACAGCAAACTGGCAGAGCCGTCAAGTTTCCGGCCTTGTCCGAAGGCCTGCGTTCCGGGGATGGACCTCCTTTATCCGTTCCCAAGATGCTGCAGCTGGTGGGACCTCCTCCAAAGACTCACATGCACAAGACGGCCGCTGTGGTCGCTCCTATTCCACCAGAAGAGCCGAACGCACTTCTTCTTGGGACGGGAGATCATGCTCAGGACTCTGGACAGATTGTGACTGCCCTCAGTCAGCAGTCAACAGCGATTACTGCATTGGTCACTCACTTGACCCAGCAGGATCCTCTGGCCGATTTGTCGTCCGGCTCTATGACTACCTCTTCGATGAAGGGAGTGCTAAGGAGGGAGAAAATGCAAGCAGAGCTCGCAAGCCGTACGGGGAATTTCTTCCTTCTCCTCATGCAACAGGTTCACAAGAAGCTCAGGCCTGGGAGGCCCCTTCCCAAGACGGAGGAGGAGCTGGAGGCCGTTTCCTTATTAGAGTATTTGGAGAAGTCAGGGGGCTACCGCAATCAGAGGAGCCTGGGCCTTGTTCAATGGATCGTCGCCCATGCTGTCGATGCGGCCGCCCGCAACGATATGGTAGGCTGTCGAGATCACCTGGCATTGCTGGCTATGGCGGTGGAACAAGCAAACTTCGACAATGGAGATTGCCTCATCAGCCTCCTCGAAGAGCCTCCAGTGACCATGTTTCAGGAGAGGACGGTCGCAGTCACTTCTACGAGCAGGCCTTTCTCGCCTCTCATCCCCCCCGGCCTGGACTGCTACCACTCTGGGGTATTTGAAAGACCTGGAGGTGCTTGCAAACAAAAAGCCGGACGTGAAGAGGTCATCCACTCCAAAGAGCCAGACAGAGCAAGAGCCAGGAAGCCCTCCTTCTCCAAAGAGGAAGCCTCGGTTTCCAAGACGTCCCAAGGCCTCCCAGGAAGGGGGGCAGCAGCAATGAAGCAGTCAGACACCTGCATGGAGGGCTCGACCGCCATGAGGGCTTTTGAAGGTCCTGACCCTATCAGAATTCAGAGGAGGCCTACAGTCTGTGGTTCTCCTTCAGT